TTTCGATGAAATACTATGTTTAAACGCGGAAGATGAGGTTATCTATAACGTTAGTGAAACATTTTTTGGCTGTACTGAATATGAACAACACCGTCAAATACTGAAAATTTTCCGTCGAAATTCTGGCAATATAAAAAAGTATTTTGATGAAGATTATCAAATGAAGTGTCTTCTGTCATCCTAGGCCCTTAATTTGACTTGTCCGGGATCGAGAGTGACACTAGAGATTATTTTGTTATACTGTGTAGGAACGCAAATTTATGGATAACTTTTTGGATGGTCCACCCTGTATTTTTTTCGAAAAATATGGGTCCAGGGTTATCAAATGAAGTGCCTTGTCATCCTAGGCACTTAAATCGGCTTGTCCGGGATAGGAGGTGATACTAAAAACTTTTTTTAATTAAATCTATGGAGGGTCCACCTTGTAATTTTTTCGAAAAATATGTGTTCAGGATTATCAAACGATATATTTTCTGTAATACTAAGTCATTGTATTTGCAAACTACATAGTTTCATTTGTCGCTCGTCTTGCTTGTGGCACAGAGATGAGAACTAATAAGTTCGGAACCGGTCTATGTCTGGTGATTCTGCTGATACATTACCTCAGCTGTTTACTGGATATTGCCGGACGGGGCTGTAGTTCGTAGCGTAGTTGTTTCTCACAATATAATTACCGAAATATATTACTTGAGTGAAGTTAGCCATAAAAGTTATCCATAACATATAAAAATTGGCAGACCAAATTCTGCACACAAATAGATAGTTTTATCAGTTTAGGACAATAAAGGGCACATCTCTAGAGCATCCAAAATACAATTCTGTTCAAAAACTACAGGGTGTGCATCATCTCCGTCCATTATCAAATTGAAATACTCGTAATAAAAGTTTTACAGAAGCATTCGCATCCGGACAAGCAATTTTAATGACTTAGTATTACAGAAGATATATCGTTTGATAATCCTGATCACATATTTTTCGAAAAAATTACAAGGTGGACCCTCCATAGATTTAATTAAAAAAAAGTTTTTAGTATCACCTCCTATCCCGGACAAGACGATTTAAGTGCCTAGGATGACAGAAGACACTTCATTTGATAACCCTGGACCCATATATTTCGAAAAAAATACATGGTGGACCATCCAAAAAGTTATCCATAAATTTGCGTTCCTACACGGTATAACAAAATAATTTCTAGTGCCACTATCGATCCCGGACAAGTCAAATTAAGGGCCTANTCAAAGTACTCTCCCTGAGACAAGATGCACTTCTGCCAACGCCGTTTCCACTGTTGATAAGATCGCTGAAAGTCTTCAGTTGTGAGGCTCTTCAGTTGCCGTGTCGTTGCTGCCTTGATGGCTTCCACATTCCCCAAGTGCCGCCCCCGAAGCACCATTTTGCATTTTGGGAACAGGAAGAAGTCGCAAGGGGCTAAATCGGGTGAATAAGGTGGATGTTCTGTCACGGTGATTGAGCTTCGGGCCAAAAAGTCACGCACAACGAGAGACGTGTGAGCAGGCGCGTTGTCGTGATGAAGGATCCACCTGCCCCCTTGTGCCAAATTCGGTCGAACTCGGGCCACATGAGCTCCGAGACGTCTCAAAACTTCAACGTAGAAATTTCCGGTCACTGTCTGGCCAGGAGGGACAAATTCCTGATGAACAATGCCCCTAGAATCAAAGAAAACAATCAACATTGTTTTCACATTGGACCTTGATTTTCTAACGCCGACCTAATATTTCTATGCAACGTACAATTCAGGTCTGGAGTGTATTAGGTCAACGAGATAATGCCACTACCCTACCCTGTAGTGGTGTCCTGCCCCCGAGGCAGGGTGTGCTAGCGGCAGCTACAGTGGAGATGGGGTGGGTCTTGGTAGGGAGAACCACTCCAGTAATACACAAGAAAATCTACTTACAAAATTTTGAAATGGGCGCCAGGTAATTTAAATTTAATTTGTCAAAGTAAATCTGTCAAAGCCAAATCACCAAATCTTTGATTCTAATCTCAACAGGACACTAACAGTCGGGCAAAAGTAAATGATACTACGGCAACCCGTTACCCAATTTATTTACAGCTATATACACAACAGGTTGTTACTCAGTTTATTCACAAATATGTACAAACACTTGTATAGACCAAAAAGAAAAAAAAAACACAAAAATGTAAAGCCATATGTTAACATGTGATTATTTCTAGATTTTATATAGGAAAAAAGTCAAAATACTATACCCCATGGACGGGGTTCGTTTGCGATTTACTTATGTACCATGGGCTTACGTAAGCGCAGAGTATGTATACCTTGGTATGACAAAATATACCTGTACCTAGGATGGTGTTCCGCAAGTTTTAAGGCTGACCCGAATTGCTCTTTTCCCAAAGCACAATGTTTTTGTCAAATCAATTGCCTATTCTAGTCCCTAGTTTTCTCTAAAGAAATTCTATGAAAATTCATCAACAGTAATCATCAGCTTAAATATCTATCAACATTTGACCCTATGGTCTCTCCAAATGTGTATGACAAGAAAAAAATAGTGAATAAAAGAAGAAATGAAATAAACAGTTCATGCACAATTTGGTTCTACTTATCGAGCCCTGGATTTCAATCTCAATCTCTCCTCGTACACCGTGGGTGGACCCTGCTGAACCCTCGTATACTGGCGACTCCGCCTAGGCTGGTGTTGTGGGGGAAGATACGTGATCCTGCAGCCCCCCTCTCGGCTACCCCACGATTGAATGGGTACTCGACTGGAGAAAGACGAGCCAGGGAACTCTCCAGACCAACTGAGCCAGTAGAACTCAAGCCGAAAAAAAGAACTTAACCAGAGAATAGAAAACGATGAGCTGGGCCAGACAATAGAAACGATGAGCTGGGCCAGACAATAGAACCCTAAAATAATGTTCCCAAATTAATCTATGCCCCGTATATTACAACATGCAATCTGAACTAGCCTAAGAATATAATAGGTTCTAATTTACCTCCACTTCGTAGAGGGTTCTACTCCACAACGTCTAATGACGACGAACTTGAGGTGGGTATTATCTCGTCCAGATATTTAGATCTCGTACCTGCTACTGCCCCCCAATGGCGTCTAACAATTCCTCCAGGTGTAAATATATCCGGTACTTCCAGAAACTTTCTCTGCCTTTACCAAAAATACTGCCCCTATCGGCCAATAATCCACACAACGGCCAGAGAAACCAATATTTGCCCACTGGATTTTATTCCCATAAATGGATGGATTCCAATTCCTTAAATACTCCAGAAGGCGTTCACACCTGTTGCGGACTCGTAGACAGTAGAAAACAAAATGTCGTCCCTTCCCCAATTCTCTCCCGGAAAAACCGCTATTTTCTGATTGGTCAAAATCCGAACCGACATCCGGTGTTACCAACGTTATGGCAATGAAAATTCCGTTCTACCTCGTATCTACTCCCAACTGACCGTCCCGTGAAATATTTATTATCAACCACCGTCAACTTGCATTTACCACCCTAAACCTCCCAAAAGCCAACGTACAGGCAATTTCGAGTTCGTTATATGCCCTAAAACTAAAACGGAAGGNTGATACTAAAAACTTTTTTTAATTAAATCTATGGAGGGTCCACCTTGTAATTTTTTCGAAAAATATGTGTTCAGGATTATCAAACGATATATTTTCTGTAATACTAAGTCATTAAAATTGCTTGTCCGGATGCGAATGCTTCTGAACAACTTTTATTACGAATATTTCAATTTGATAATGGACGGAGAAGCTGCACACCCTGTAGTTTTTGAACAGAATTGTATTTTGGATGCTCTAGAGATGTGCCCTTTATTGTTCTAAACTGATAAAATTATCTATTTGTGTGCAGAATTTGGTCTGTGAATTTTTATATTTTATGGATAACTTTTATGGCTAACTTCACTCAAGTAAATGACTTGATCCAAAAAAAATCGTCCAAAAGATGTTCTTCTGTTAGTCAAAAAGGTTTTGTTTTTGTTGTTCGATCATGAAATGAGGAACAAATATTGCTGCAACTCGATGCATATTCAATTTTTCAGTCCAAATTTCATGGCATGACCCAATCGAGATCTACTGCAATTTCTCTGACAGTCAATCGACGATTTGCATGCACCAGATCTTTTACTTTCTGAATGTTCAGTTGAAGTAGAATGCCTTCCTGGTCGAGGATCATCTTCAATTGACTGACGACCGTAGATTCGTAACATTGCGTACGACCCAGAGCATCATCTCTGTAAGCTTATTTCAAAAGTTGAAGCATTTACGTTGCACCGTTGTTCCAGAAAATCACACATTTCAAAAATCGCCCCTAATACTTAAATACGTTGCACTCAAATAACACTATCACGAAAACTAAATGAGATATCAACAATCCAAGAACATATGGTTACAGACGAGATTATGCGCAACGCAATGCTGCCAACTGCATATTACTAAATACCTCCATTTAAGTTCACAAAGCTCGTATGTGTTGCATATTTATAATATGAAACATCTGTAGGTATGCAGTCAGTATAGAACCTGGTTCAATACGAGGTTTGTCCGGAAAATACGTATAAAAGTGGAATAATAACTTTATTTTACAATTATTCGGGTATTTCAATATGGTCTCCTTCAAAGTACTCTACCTAAGACAAGATGCAACGCCGTTTCCACTGTTGATAAGATCGCTGAAAGTCTTCAGTTGTGAGGCTCTTCAGTTGCCGTGTCGTTGCTGCCTTGATGGCTTCCACATTCCCCAAGTGCCGCCCCCGAAGCACCATTTTGCATTTTGGGAACAAGAAGAAGTCGCAAGGGGCTAAATCGGGTGAATAAGGTGGATGTTCTGTCACGGTGATTGAGCTTCGGGCCAAAAAGTCACGCACAACGAGACGTGTGAGCAGGCGCGTTGTCGTGATGAAGGATCCACCTGCCCCCTTGTGCCAAATCCGGTCGAACTCGGGCCACATGAGCTCCGAGACGTCTCAAAACTTCAACGTAGAAATTTCCGGTCACTGTCTAGCCAGGAGGGACAAATTCCTGATGAACAATGCCCCTAGAATCAAAGAAAACAATCAACATTGTTTTCACATTGGACCTTGATTTTCGCGACTTTTTTGTTCTTGGTTGCCCTGCTTGCTTCCACTCCTTGCTTTGAGATTTCAGCTCCACATCAAATTCGTAGAACCAAGACTCGTCTCCAGTGATGACCCCGTTGAGAAAGTCCTGCATTTCCTCTGCTTCCAACCAATCCTCACACCAAGCAACCCTCCTTGCTTTCTGTTCTGGAGTCAAGAGCTTCTGAACGATTTTCGCACACAATTTTTTCATTTTAAGTTTTTCAGTCACAATTTCGTGGACGGTTGTTTTGGGGATTGACAGATCCTCAGCTATCATTCTAATTGTCAATCCACGGTCTTTAAGAACACAAACCCGAATTCGTTCAACATTTCCGTCAGAACTCGATGTGGAGGGGCGTCCTGAGCGAATGTCATCTTTCGGGTCTTCTCGGCCTTCTCGGAACCTTTTTAACCACTTGTTGACGGTAGGTTCCTTCAGAGAATTGTCTCCGTAAGCTTGTTTCAAACACTCAAAAATCTCACGGCCATTCTTGCCTAACTTTGCAAGAAACTTGATGTTGATGCGCTGTTCCTCAATCAGAGAGAGCTCCATGCCGACGGCAGGTAAAATAAGGGTTACTTTCAACAAGCAGACGTAAACTCCTACTTACTCGCAGAACGCTCTGGCTCGAACTGAGCGTTGAGGGGATTGCATAACGAGGGGGGACCACCGGGCCACCCCTCCACAACGCCTTGACACGTCGCCCTGAATTTATACGTATTTTCCGGACAAACCTCGTATTATCATCACTTAGGACTTTCATATTAACAACAGTACGTGTTAAAATACATTATTATGTGGTTTAGAACACTTTAACTAAGTATTAGAGTTTTATGAGCAGACATCTGTTGTTAGTTAATATAAAAAATACTTTTAAAAATTGTAAGTGTGGTATGTGTAGATTTTGAAAGAATTTGACGTGAATAAACTTGTTTTTTTTTCTAATACTCAATATCTTTAAAGATTATCAATTTGGTAAAGGTTCCATATTACTTACCATATTCTCTGTCAACCTCTATTTTCTCTGTCATTTTTGACGGACAATTTTGCATGGAACAATTTCATAAAAATGTTCATTATAGATACCTACTTCTATTTAAAAGTAGTTGTTGCTAAAGATAATACACAATTTGCTGTTAATTGGCGTTAAAATTTCCTGCTGTGACGAAAATAACATCTATTCATACACGGAAAGACATTGAAAACAATGTGGTACTTTAATTTACAGTCCATTAGTCGATTCAACTTAATAATTACGCTAATCATGACAATAAACTAATAGGAAGGCATAGGATTTCTTTAAATGAATAGACACAATATGCTTCTATTTGCCAAAAAAACAATAACGGTATACACTTGGGGTTTTCCAGGTCAATATCCGAAAACAATTGTCATAATTTGTACCTGTGTTGTCTAAATATTACAACACATTATATACAAAAAAAAAATATATAAAATGAAGTGAAATTTTTAGATTCTGAATGCAGATTTTAAAGGAATACACTGTGTCCCAAAATGATGGAACAAAATTCATATTTTTTTTCCAGTTCAGATTTTAAAAATCGCTGAAACAGGTATTATTATTATTATTATAAGGTTGCTGTATATATTATAGAATAAATAGATAGTCCTTCTAAAGACAAATTCAGCGATATAAGGTTATACCTACTTTTTCTCATAGTTGTCAAAAAATATATACAAAATTGTTTTTTTGTCGTACTAACGACTATTTCAAACGTAGTCTCTTCTGTACTTTAAAAAACGTACCTACATACTCTTTATTAATCTGTTTCTACTTACTTTAATTTTTTTTCTCAAAAAAAAACACATCGATAAACACATAAAATTCACCAAAGTACCTTAGGTATAACGTAAATCGTATTACCTAGTTCCAGTTCATTCGTTCTTAAAATTTTGAAAAATGGTTGCCTGTTTAAGCGAAAAACAGATCATTGAAATTTTAATTATGATTGGATGTGGAGATGAAATCCATAGTCAACATACCTCCTATGTGACTTAATTCACCATAAGTATCCAGACCAGAGAATTAGTCGAGCTACAATAAGTATCCAAAAAGTTTGAAGAAACCGGTATAAGTATAAAAGATTTACCTGGATCAGGAAGGCGAAGAACGGTAAGCGAAAATGACAGTCGAAATGTGATGCTCCCCGTTACTGAAAATCCTCACTCATTCATTAGATCTATCTCAGCCAACTTCTACTTGTCGAAGTCCTCAGTTCGCAGAACTCTGAAGTCTTAAAAGTGTCATCCTTACTTAACGTCTTACAAGAATTATGGACAGATGTCACAGACAGAAGATTACAGTTTTGCGAGGAAATTAGAAATTTATTTGAAAGCCAACCCAACTTAAAAAATCACATAATTTTCACTGACGAAACAACTTTTTGCTTAAACGGAACTGTAAACAGGCAAAATGCTAGTTTTTTGAGCCCAGAAAATCCGCATTAGATTTAAAAAAACGTACACAACGGCCGGAAAAAGTGAATGTTTGGGCTGGAATAGTAGGAAATCGCATACTGGGACCTTATTTCTTTGAGGGCAATTTCACAGACGACATTTATTTGAATTTCTTGCGTTTTCATCTGATTCCAGCCCTGGAATTAATTTTTCCTAACCCTAATGAGCACGATATGCCTGCTGGTGATGTCTGGTTCCAACAATATGGAGCCCATCCACAAATTCTCCTCGATCTAAGAAATTACCTTCACGAAGTTTTTCCAAATCGATGGATAGGCAGAAGAGGGCCGCTAGAATGGCCGCCACGTTTCCTTGATTTAACCCCACTAGATTTTTTTTGTGGGGTTATTTAAAAGCAGTGTATGTGAACAGACCACACACTATAGAAGGATTGAAAACCCATATCAGAGAAGAAGTTCGAAACATAACACCAAATGTTATTCAAAATGTAATTGATAACTTTGAACACCGAATTGGGCATTGTGCAATGGTTAAAAGGGGCCACTTTGAACATTTGCTGTAATAAAATAAAAAGTACTAAATTATGGTTTTCATTTAATTCCTCCATTTTTTGACAACGATGACAAGAAGTAGATATAACCTCATCTATCTTTTTATACTACCTAATAATATAGACAGAATTAAAAACAAATGTTGGTAATGTTAATTTCTACTTACTAATAGACCTGTTTCAGCGACTTTTTTTTATTTTAATTGGTAAAAAATTTGAATTTTGTTCCATCATTTTGGGACATCTTGGGTTTGAAGGAAAACATGTAAAGAAAAATAGCTTCGGTTAAATGCTCAGTGCAAGGAAAATCCTTGTTTTTAAATAAGATGCAACTAAAATGCTTCATTCTATGTCACAAATAAATAAAAAAAAAAAATCCTATAAAAATTTGTCCGAAAACACTTCGTTTTGGAGATACAAGGTGCAAAAGTTAAAAAAAAATGGATTTCTTAATATTGGAAAATAGCGGCTGCAACAATTTTATTTAAATTTTGCAGGCAGTTTTAATTTTTAATTATTCACAAACGCATGACAGGTTTTTTAAATACAGGGGTGTAAGTATATCAAAGACAATAACTTTCGCTCCCAATTTTTTTTCCAGAAAAATTGAACTCAGTGTTAGACAAAGTACTTAAAAGTTATATAAAAATTAATTCTTCCTACATAAAACTAAATAATTATTACTAAAAACATCGAACTATTTTTTAACTAAGAATAACAATTATTATTAAAGTAATTAATTTATCTATATGAATGAAATAAAGTATGCATTATTGACATGGTTTCCTTCAACTGTTTTTGCAACACGTTTTCGCATAGAACTTTTTATTTTAAAAATGAAACGTTTCCATACTGAATATTTTTTTATTAATTTTTGATACAGATCCCGCCATTAAACCTCGGCCAAGCATTTTATACTAGGTATATTAGGATAATATAGTTTTATTACACGTTGTTCACAATGCCATTCCCTGTCATTCAATGTCATTTTTAATATAAGAGCTATTTAACTATACCAACTCATACTATGTATATCAGTTTTTAAATATTGTATTTCAATTTGTAATTTTCTCATTTGTTAACGTATTTGGTAGAAAGGAAAGGTCCAGATCCAAAAATAGATTAATTAGAACTGAATAATACTGTTTACATAACAGTGAAATGTGACCCAACATTTGCCTGTAATGAATTGACTTTGGATGTCTGACGCAATTAGGAAAAATTTCTTACATTTTTTGTTCAAATAAAATGTTTCTAACAAACAGTAACAAATCTCACGGGTAAAAATTAATAAATATCTATTTAGAGAAGACTTGGCATTTGTCTTCATCAATTTTGTCTTCAAGTATAAGAAGACCTATCAAATTTAAAAATACAATTATATTAAAAAAAAATATGCTAAGAATTGACCAATAAGTTATTTCACTTCAGTTACAGATATAAATTTCAATATTGCATTCATAATTTTAATACCTGCGATTACTTTTAACACTCTGATAGCACTCATATGCATATAGAACACCTACATAGATATGTCGTGACGTCAACATTGAATTATCTGGGTCGTCGCATGTAATAGATTGTAAAATAATTTTTATAACTTTTCCAACTGCTCAGAATGCGAATAATTCATGCTGACTTATAAATAGTACGCTGTATACTTTTTTCTTTGGGAAATGTATCCAATAACAGATAAAAATTGTAATATTCCGACCATATCAACAATTGCTTAAGGTGGCCATATTCCCGGCCGAGAAACAGTGAAATTTCTGGCGTTTTTAGGTACTGAAATCTTTAAAAGTAAAACGTTTAGAACAAAAGTAAGCACAAAAATAAAATCCTTGATGTTTTGTTTATTCATTATTACCGTTTAAATTTACTCAAATAAAATAATAACTAAAAAAAAGCGTTTGTAAAACATGCGTTTGCTGTTATTCTAACCCCACATTTTAAGAATTATTTTCACGTACTTATAAATAAAAGTAAACAATTTTATATGTAGGACTAAGCAAGTAAATGTTATAAGAATATTTACATGTGGAATTATATATAAAAAAGTTAGTATTTTCGTAGATTTCAGTACCTAAAACCTTGATGGTTTGATTGTTTTTTGCACCTGTTTATTCGTTTTNTTTTTTTTAGTTATTATTTTATTTGGGTAAATTTAAATGGTAACAATGAATAAACAAAACATCAAGGATTTTATTTTTGTGATTACTTTTGTTCTACACGTTTTACTTTTCAAGATTTCGGTACCTAAAAATGCCTGAAATTTCATCATTTCTCGGCCAGGAATATGGCCACCTTAAATAGAACTATTTATGTAAGTATACCAAAGCCAGAAAAAATCACAAGCACGGAAATTAGAAAACTCAAGTTAGTTTTAGTCTCAAGAATATTGAAACATGAATAACAATAATCACATCACAACTGTAAAAAAAATTCCGCTCAATCGGATGTGGACAGAAATTGATAATTATTGAGTAAAATTGAGTGAAATATTCACTCTATTATTGAGTACAACTAAAATTTTATGAGTGAAACAATAGAAGTGAGTGAATTT